TATTATATATTATATTGTATTGAAATAATTATATTTATTATATTAATAATAATATAATAATTACATATTTATATAATTTTATAATTCAAATATTATTATCTATTACTAGTTATATAATATATTAATTATAGTATATTTATTTAATATTATATAAGAATAATTATATATTATATAATAATATAATCTAATTGTAATTTTTAATTATATTATAACTAATATATTTTTATTTTTTAGAGTTAAAAATAATTTTTTTAAAATCCTATGGTCTTCGCATGCGTCATTTTGGGGTCGACAATTAGCTTATTAACAAAAGATTCATCAATAAGATAATCACGTTTATAATATGCCAAGCCATTTGAAATTAAATTAAAAAAAAAAAAGGGAAAAAAAGACCCAAAAATAACCCACCAAAATTTCATTGGGCCAATTAGCGACGCTTAAATCAAACGGTTTCAAACTAATCCAATAAAAAAAACAACGAATAAATCAATGCAAATCTCAATCGCCTAGTCATCAAATTACTATTAGACATTAGGAAAAATTAACAATAACATGAATCAGAAGTTTCTTTTCCTTTTTTTTTTGCGAATATGAAAACGCTGAAATTGATGAAAGGAGGGATTTTATTTCTTAGAAAAGAATTGTGATTCTGAAACTTTCATTTCCTAAGGTTTCTTAGAAATCAAAGAGAAGAAATAACACATTAAGTGAGAGAATGTGTAGAGAGATATCCCAACTATGACTGATCAGCCAGACGTACCTCTGTTCCAAATTGAGTACTTACAGAGGCTATTGATCTGATGACTCCAATCGGATATTCCACAATCCAATGATGAAATCTAAAAACCCTAACGATAACAAACCCACAAACACCGAAAGAACAGAAAGAGAGGAGAGACTCTGCATGACTGACAATCTCAGAAGCAACTTGGGAATGGAGAGAGGGAGTCTGAGAAAACAAAGAGAGAGAATCAAAGAGAGAGAGCTTTGGCTAAGAAAGAACGAGAAGAGCACAATTGAGAGAGGATAGCACCAGCAAAGGAGCAGAAAGAAATTTAAGAACGAGATTTCTTTAATTCAGCGAGGTTAATTTGGGAAAAAGGAAAATATCATTAATGAGGGATAATAGATTGCCGCACAATCTACAATCAGATGCAGCTTTAAATTCCTCACAAATTATCTAAGGATCACTTCATGAGGTTTTTACCAAACACATAAGCTATGTAGAAAATTGATTTTAGGCTCCCAAAATATCTACCAAACTAAGCAAAATCCTCTTATTTCCGAAGTGAATGTACTCTTTGATTTCAACCTCATCACCACTATTGCCTAACTTAGTTTGGTATTACTTTTCGCTCCCAAAATCAGCTTCTGCTTGTAGCAAAAGTTAATTTTAATGTTTGATAAATCTCCTTAATGCTATGTTTGGTAGGAAGGAAAGAAAATATGATAGAAAGGAAATATGAAAGTGATGGAAAATAGCAATGATGGAAAGGAAATTGATTTTCTTTTATGTTGTTTGGTATGCGAAGATGGAAAGAAAATGAGCTTACCTTCACTTGTTTGGTATTGGAAGTTAAATTGGGAGGAAAGAAAAAATCTTACTCGTAAATTACTTTTATACCCTTAAATTTTTTGCTTAGATGTTGATGGAGAAAATAGTAGTTTAGTAACTTTGCTCACTTTAATGAGTTGTCTCTATTTTCCATCTCATTTTCTGCCCACTTGTGGAAGGAAAAAAATGGTGGGGCCCACATATATTATTTTCCACCATATTTTCTCTTCCCTTTTCTTTTCTCTCCTACCAAACAACCTATATTTTCATTTTCCCTCCCAAAATCCCTCCACCTTCTTCTTTCCTTCTACTTTTCTTTCCTACCAAACATACTCTAAAAGTACTTTTTAAAGAATTTTTGAAGAATCTACAGCCAAAATTAGAAGCAGTCCAAAGGCAACTTTAACTTTTAGATTGTACAGGAATCATCATAGTACAATTAATAAAACTTTCATAATACTTCTAATAAAATTTAAAATTTACAATATTCTCAATCTAAAATTTAAACTCGTAATATAATATAATATAATGTAATAGTAATATTGTAACAAATAATATTATAATTATATTAATAACTCTAATGTTATTATTTTGTCATATAATATGATATTATAATTATATTAATAATATTATATATTATATTGTATTGAAATAATTATATTTATTATATTAATAATAATATAATAATTACATATTTATATAATTTTATAATTCAAATATTATTATCTATTACTAGTTATATAATATATTAATTATAGTATATTTATTTAATATTATATAAGAATAATTATATATTATATAATAATATAATCTAATTGTAATTTTTAATTATATTATAACTAATATATTTTTATTTTTTAGAGTTAAAAATAATTTTTTTAAAATCCTATGGTCTTCGCATGCGTCATTTTGGGGTCGACAATTAGCTTATTAACAAAAGATTCATCAATAAGATAATCACGTTTATAATATGCCAAGCCATTTGAAATTAAATTAAAAAAAAAAAAAGGGAAAAAAAGACGAATATTGTTTGGATAAAAAGGGGGATAAATCGCCGTCTGTGGGAATCGAACCCACGACCACATGGTTAAAAGCCATGCGCTCTACCGGCTGAGCTAAGACGGCTACAGTCTGGAATAATTTAACAATAATTATATATTGAAGTCGTTTGATGAAAACATAGACCCAGTCTGGATCATGACTACTCGGAAAACCTTGAAGAGGTTGAGGAAAAAAAAGAGATTTGTTTGAAATGGGGATTCGTACCATGATTTGAATCATAGTTCGTTGCTCATAAAAAATACACGTAAAACGAGAATAATTTTGAATCATAGTTCTGAATCTATGAACTAAATGTATTTGTGAGAGAAAATACTAGCAATAGAACTTGATTTGTAAAAAAAAAACAAGACGCTTCTCTTTGGACTTTTTTTGGGCTTAACTTAAATGAGTCCACAACAATTTGGGTCCAAACTTCCTTATTTGTTGAAACATTTAGGGGATGTGCCATATAAATAAAGTAAGGATGGATTGACTTCTACCAAATGACTTAAACTCTCAATTGTTTTGCCATGTGCCAGACTAAGATTTGAATTTAAAGGTCTAAAATATTCCTAGATGATTTGAGTAGGGTTTTTAATTCATGTTCTCTTCTTTCTTTTCTCTCGTATCTCTTACCCACACAACAGCCGCCGCCACCATCCTTTCTCAGTGGAGCTCGACACCTATGAGCTCTCTCGAATCTCCCCACCATCCTCGAGGATCTCTCCGACACCAGTAATGACCATCGTCACCATGGAAATCTCTGGCGACCTCTCGTTGTCCTCACCATCATTGAGGAGTTCTCCACCACCAAGCAGTGAGTCATTGTCGTTGCGAAGAGCTCTGCCAGTACATATGAAGCACGGCGACCAATCGTTCTCAACGTTATACTCGATCTAGCACGCTGCCTTGTAGCGCCGATTGATGTGCCTTCATCCAGCTATTTGTGCCCAGATGTTGTCCGAGTTGACAAAGGAAATGAGGCTTAGTGGCCATGGAGGATCTTGAGCCTTGCACCGCCTATCATACATGCGACCTTGCAGCCCTAATATGATGTGCCTTTGTCGAGCTTATCTGCTAGATGTTGTCAGAGTCGACGAAGAAAGGGAGTCATGGCGGCCATGGAGGATCGTGGGCCTTGCTGCACAGATCTAAACGCAGTCTTATAACACCAGGACGAGGACGACGGTGATTTTTTGTGAATATTTGATGATTTTTAATAATTTGTTGGATTTTATGAATTTTTTGATGATTTCTAGTGGTTTGTGGACTTGTAATTTCTTTCGTGATCCTTTATATATATATTTTTTATGGGTTTTTTAATATCTTGATGGTGGTGATGGTTGTATAACTTGTATTGCCGCCAACAATGGCAATTTTCGATACCAGTCTTAACTTGGTGGATTTCAAATGAGATATCGTCACGTATCTTGGTTGGATGTCGGATGTGTGGCCTGATATCACCCGATATCTCATCAGATGCTGGTATTGTGGTTAAATAATGACCGATATCCTAAGAGTATATTTGGCATTCTATATATAGTATGATGACATGGTTGTAATATTCTTTACAATAGTTTATATCCCATGCGTATGTCAATCCAAACCTAAAAGTTGTAACAATTCCATTTATAGCCCTCATTTGTCTCTAGATGAGTTCCCCTCCATTTTTTTTTAGTAAATAGCTGATTTTTGAAACTAAATTAAATAATTAACTAATTTTAAAATTATTTAAAGTTAATACAGTTTATCATGTATCTGCATAATTTATTATTGGTAAAATCCCGCTATTTATGTGAAAAATTATTTTAATAGTCGCAAAAAAATTATGTGAAAAAATCTTTTAATTAGTCGTAACAAAATTTACGCGATATACTGCTATAAAATATGTTTATAAATCAATTGGGTGCGTTTAGAACTTGTTCCAAAATGGTTTTATTTTTTGTATGAAGATGGAAATAAAAACGTTTTCAATCTGAGACAGAAATTATTTTTAAAAATGGGTTTGGTAGTTTTATCAAGATATTATTTTCGGTATAAAAAACTCATTAATGTCCATCTCTCTCTGCTCGAGAGAGGAGAAAACAAAAATAAAAAATAAAAAATAATTAAAAATTATTTTTTATTTCTCTCATTTTATACTAAATTAAAAAATCATTTTCATCTCTATTTTTTATCTTTAATTGTATCAAATACCGTTTTAAAATCATTTTTATTTTTTCGTTCTCAAAAATGTAAAAACCAAAAAAATAATAATTTTAAACACGACAATTATTTATTACACCCTTCTTTTTTTCCCCTTTATTTTCATGAATTAAAATTTTCTCCTTTTATTTTTCTGGAACAGTCAGCAGCTAAAAATTTTCGTCGCATTCTCGAAAAATATTCAAATCTCCTAAAAATAAAGGTAAAAAAAGCCTCTAATTTCCGTACCCATCATTCAGCAGCCCGCGGCATCTCTCCAGATTTCGCGTAGCCTCCTTTCCACCATTTCTAAGCGAAAAAGAAGAAAGAAGAAGAAAGAAGCAAACAATCAGCAGAAGAAGATGTTGAGAGTTGCGGCTCGGAGGCTCTCCTCTCTCTCATCCACCGATTCCCTCCGGAGGCCTAATTACTCCGCCGCCATATCCACCGCCTCTTCCCTTCTCTCTCCTCATCCTATCAATGCCTCCGCCGACTCTTCTTCCGATGATCTCCCTCTCCGATCCTTCCCCTCTCTTACTCCCCACTTTCATATCCCTTCCAGAGGTCAGCTCCTTCTCTTTCATTCTTAGGGTTTTATTTCTCTCTCTTTCTTCTTCCTCTTTCTAATCCTGTTTATACCTTCCGATTTCATTGTTTAATCTATTCCAAATATCAAGTTTCAGTTTTTGTTTTTGTTTTTGTTTTTTTTGGTTTCTCGACTATGTGTATTGATTTAGGGTTTTCAAATCATTATCTCAAGATTGAGTTTTTTCCCCCTTTCTCTTTGTTTAGTATAAAATAGAGTTTCTAATTTATTTGCTTTGAAATTTGTATAGTTTCCAGCTGCTTGAACTCCAAATGAACCTTCAATTCTCTCTCATTCATGTCTCTCTCTTCATGTGCATATATAATGAATCAAAGGGTTTTCAAATCGTTAGTTAAAATCTCGCAAGATTCCAGTTGCTTCTAATCACATTCTTATTGCGTATTGTATTTCTCTGAGCATATTTTGTATATGAGTACATCTATGGCTTGGCACGCATGTTTAAACAAGCTTAAAAATGCGAAAGAATATTTAAAGGATGCATAATCAAATCATCTGCTGCTACTTGTAAGGGTTTGCCAAACAATCTTGGTATAAATTTCTTAGAAACTAGCACGACACTCTGCGACTTTTAGTTAAATTATCGTGATGGTCTTTTGCTTTTTTGTGTTTTAGTAATGGGAACTTAAAATTGAATAATAAAGTTGAGATCTCTTGGAAGACGTTGAGTTTGATATTGTAATTATAATTTAGTCATCAATCTGTCTGGTATTAGTGAAATTGTAGCTTCTCTATCAAAATTGGGTCTTAAGATCGATGATGTTTGCCTTTACTTGTTTTTCATTTACGTTTGCAATAATTGTTGAATAAGCAGATGCATATTCTTGGGTTCTTCAGGTTTTGCTTCTGATTCTCTGACCCCATCAAAGGAACATAACCTTGTGCTGGATGTTCCGGCAACTGTGGCTGCTGTTAAGAACCCAACCTCAAAGATAGAATATGATGAGTACAATCATGAGAGATATCCACCTGGGGATCCTAGCAAAAGGGCATTTGCCTACTTTGTCCTTACAGGTGGTAGGTTTGTGTACGCTTCTCTGATTCGTCTGCTCATCCTTAAGTTTGTGCTGAGCATGTCGGCCAGTAAGGACGTTCTTGCAATGGCGTCTCTTGAGGCTGATCTCTCGAGCATCGAACCGGGCAGCACCGTGACTGTTAAGTGGCGAGGGAAGCCGGTATTCATCAGGCGTCGAACTGAGGATGATATCAAGCTAGCAAACAGCGTTGACTTAAATTCTCTCCGTGATCCTCAGCCAGATGCTGAGAGGGTTAAAAACCCAGAATGGCTTGTTGTCGTCGGGGTCTGTACCCATCTGGGTTGCATTCCCTTACCAAATGCTGGTGACTTTGGTGGATGGTTTTGTCCATGCCATGGCTCCCACTATGATATCTCTGGAAGAATTCGAAAGGGACCAGCTCCGTACAATTTGGAGGTACCCACATATACCTTCTTGGACGAGAACAAATTACTGATTGGTTGAGTGTCTGTTGGGGATCTGCTTTTGTAGAGGTTTATTGTTATTTTGCTTTCGGAATATTTTTCTTTCTTTTTATCCAATCAGATAATGTCGAAGATTTGCGAAGGACATCTTTGTTGTTGGCCATGTTACTATTCGGCTTAAGGTGGATGATGTAACCTTGCTCAAATTCTCAATAAGTTGCTTGGCTTTAGCTGAAGCATGAATTACGTTGATTTTTCCCCCAAGTATTACTACTTTTTAGTTCTGATCACGTCTCCTTGAGGTTATGGGAGTTCAAACAAGCTTGTAGGTGGATAGGAATTAGGATTCCATCATCACAAAACTTATTCAAGGATATGACTGTTTCTCTCGGTCGAATCTCTTTCAAAGTGTATATTGCTATTAATCTTCCTTCTATTCTTGTTTTATGATATATATCTGATTCCCCTATGTATTGAAGCGGATAAATAAGTGCATGCTGGTGCCAACGTAATAATGAGCCGTGACACCATAACAAGTATGCATGTAAAAGAAGATAAGTAGTTTTGGAGCTAAGTTGAAGAAGAGAGTTGAATTATTGCCCAAAATTTTCAAGTTAAACTCATGTAATCTAGGTTGTTTTAATACATCTCAACTCTTTTACAGGAATCAACTGATGAACAGCCTCGTTTGCTAATTCCCCTTTAGGCTTTAAGTAACAGTTGCAAAATTCAACATCTCTGGCCACTGCCTTAGTACCTTTTTCTCTCTTAGTTTTTATCTTTCGAATATGCCCTTGACATACACCATGCCTTTTTCGCTGAGCTGAAGCTCCTTCCTCATTTGCTCGACTTGTTGGTCATCACCTTGTACTATGATCTCCGATAGGATCCCGTCGTCTCCAACCATCATTTTGACCTTGATCTGCTCCTTCCGTGATGCTCTTTTCCAGTAATAGGCGCCCCTATGATCCGTCACCGATGCATTAGTACTTATCCGAATACGTGTGATGTGTTCAGTTTTCTGAATGGAATTATGCAACTTACAGTGACTACTTACGCTAATGGACTTAAGATGGTGAGCCAGAACCAATTGTTGCCGACATCCGGAAAAGTTATGGTAAGAACGAGGGCGACACTGGCAAGGCTGATGCAGGTGCAGAATATGAGCAAAGCTGCCTGCCCTCTGCTTGGTACCATCACGCCCTCAAACCTTCATTCAAGACATGGCAAATGTACATTTACTGGATCTTTCCTTTTGCTAAGACAAATGGCTTTTCTGTGTGGACACCTCAAAAGCAAATCGTCTCTCAAATTTTAATCCTAGTAACTCACTCCTTAAATTTTAAAATTCGTTTTAATAGTGGTCAAATTGAAAACAAAATTAAAAATTCGGACGGTTTATTCCGCATGAACGTTTACTGAGGCTGATTTTGGTCTTTATGCATCGGATTGTTCTGTATAGACATCGTGAGCGTACAATTTTTTGGACCTATTCGATGTAAAAAGATGAATTAGCCTCATAAAATGTTCGCATTGAAGAAATCGTCTAAATTTTTAATTTCGTTTTTAATTTGACCAACATTTGAACAAATTTTAAAATTTAAAGGAGTGAATTGTTAAGATTAAAATTTTAGGGACCAATTTACGAAACTTAAAATTGAGGGAGTTTCCATAAAAAATAAAAAAATAAAAAAAAAGCCAAGACAAAATATATATTCAACGGGTCACAAACAATAACTGGAAGAATATATATACAATGAGTCACTAAACAATACTTGAAAGAACCACCTTGTTCTTTAGTCCTGGAAACCTGAAGCTTGTGAAGTAAATTCTATGGTGCGTTTGGAATTGGTTCCAAAATAATTTTGTTTTCTGTATAAAAATGGAAATGAAAACGTTTTCATTTTCATTTTGGAATTATTTCTGAAAATGCGTTTGGTAGTTTTATTCAGAGATTGATTTCAGTTTAAAAAAAAAACTGAAACTGCGTTTGGTGGTTTAATTTTTAAAAATATGTAATAATATTTAAAATAATAATATATTAAATAAATAATATTATTAAATATATTAAATACATAATATTATTGCCACCGCCGCAAGCCCAATGCTCTCCGGTGCTCGGCGTTGTCGTTCTCCGAGCGGCACTACGCTGGCTCACCGAAGTCAGACGACGTCGTCAAGCTCTTGCTTTTTCCCCTCCCTCTCGTCCTCTTCCCCGGAGCGATCCTTCCATTGTAGATCTTCGAGTTCCGGTACCAGATGATGGGGGGGGGGGGGGGGGGAGGAAGGGCAGAAAAAAACTGAGACAGGGGAGGCTGAAGAGAAAACGGGAGAGAAAAAGAAAATGAAAACGAAAATGGAGAAAATGAAAACAGCTTTTTTTTTGTTTTCTGATTTCCACAAAACGACAAAAACGATTTTGTTTTTGTTTTTTAAAAAAATTTACACCAAACGCGTTTTTAAAACCCGTTTTCAATTTTTTACTTCGAAAAACATGAAAAATGAAAATGGAAATAGAAACAAAGGCTCCTAGTGTTGGGGGTGTGATACCGATGCTAATGAGACATGAGTATGTAGAGGAAGTACGAAAGCCAATTATGTCTCAATTATTAAGTAGAAAAAGTATGCATATTAAGAGCTAAAACTCCAATCATTCTAAAAAATGGTTAAATGTTTTTCCAGAAAAGAAATATTAAATAAATGTGGAGGAAAATTGAGCAAAATTATTTGGATAAGCTGCATTTACTAATAAATTGGTACACCAAACGCAAAGTTAAATTGAGGAAGTATTCTTGACACCTTTCTAAACTTAAAAGGAGCTACTCTATCATTGTAAATAAAAAAAAAAAATTTAAAAAAAATTGCAGCTATTTTCTAACAGAATGTACAAAATTCTAGGCTTCAAACGATTATAATCCTAATGCAAAGTGTTAAATTCCGTAGTAAATAATTTTTGACCCTAACATGATTTATGCTTGGCTATCAAGACTGTTGTAATTGCAGATGACAAAAAATTAAGGAAATTAAAATAAGAAAAGATGGTGGAAGATTAATTTAGATAAGATAACGATAAGATTAGGCTTACGTACGTAATGGTCTCTCCTCTATCAGCGACCGCAAAATTGTTGCGAGAGAAGAAAGAAAGAATCTCACCGGCCATCTGATTGGGTGGCTTCTTGGCTTCACCTTCTCCAATAAACGTCTTCTGAACTATCTATTATTTAATAAATCACCAAAAACAACACCACACTAATCAGTCTCAATTCACCCTTCTTCTTATGCCTGTATATAACAGGTGTATTCTACAAATAAATTAATTGAAAAAAAAAGAAAGAACCTTGGATTTAACAGAGCGTTTGATAAGGGACCAGAGGCCAGGGACAGAGATGACGAAGAGTCCCAAAGATGTGTAGTAGCTGGCCAAGGAATAGCCGGTGCTCTCTGCCGAGAGAAGAAAGAGGACGCTGTCGTACGAGGAAGCTGCAAACGACATGGATTCGTTGATAGAGGCCGCCACTACTACTACTGGTTTCCTGTAGGAGAATAAGGAGCTGGTTGTACCTGTACTTATACTTGTGGGGCCAAGCCGAAGCCGTGGATGGTGGTGGTGGTGGTGGCGGCGGAGAGAGATAGAATTAGTCTTTGTGAGGGAAGGAAAAGGGGAAGGAGAAGGAAATGGAGATAGAGAATTAATGAGATGGAGATGGTGTGGGGATTTTGACAATACTTGACCTCCTGCTGCTGCTGCTGCTACCAAAACCATTGGCATTTTTGTTTTGGTTTAACAGATGCAAAAAGCAAAGATCAGTCTCAAAATCGAGAGATTCTCAGATTTTCAGCTAAAGTGCCCCCAACCCCTGTAGTCACTTACCCGATAGTCTGTCCTTTCAAGTCCCAACCATTTTGAATGGTCCAAACTTTTAGACATGCTCTAGTTTTTTTTTCTTTTTTAATTATTATTTTACGAAACGGATTAACGGATGCATTCAATAAAAAAAAAAAAAAAAAGGGATAGAGAAGAAATTGGGAGGAAAATAGCTGATACATATATGTTAACATATCATTCTTAAAAGGAAAAAAAAAAATACTGGTATTTATTCGTTTTTAACCGTCATATTTATATTAATAATTTTCTATTCTACATATTTTTAAAAAATTTTGTATAATTTTGATTAAATTTAAAGTTCATAAATTAACCCTACCAATAAGAAAATCGTACCCGAAAAAATCTTAAAAAAATATATTCATGTATCCTTTCAACTTTGAAAAAAAGAAATAAATGAGAAAATGTTGCCCAAACAAAATTGTGTATAAAATAATTGTTTTGTTCCTTAATTATACCTTATTCACGCCTTTTTATAATAGTATGGTGATGTGCATTTGTGTCGACAACTTTTTTTCCCCTAACCATTGGACTAGCTTTAAAAAAAATGAAAAAAAAAAAAAAAAAACCTAGTGCCGCACGTCTATTAATGTAGGTAATTGGGGTGAAATTATACACTGTTCATTTAAGTAAAAGTGACAATGATTCTGTTAGACACGCAACAATTCCAAACTCACCTTTAGTGAATAAAATATGCAACCGCTATTGCATTAATTCACTATCTATTAATTTAAAAAGTTTTGAAGCTTAAAGGTGCTAATTAATTTGGGAATGTCGAAGCCTAAAAGTTATTATCTTATTGATAAAGCTCAAAAATCAGACATTTAAGGCATGTTTAAAATTTTTTCGTTTATTTTTTAAAACGTTTCTCCACATTTTTTGAGATTATAAAACGAAAATGATCTCTAAACTACATTTAGTTAGTAAATATTTCAAAAATGATAGTGAGAAAAATAGTAAATATAGTTTTGTTTTAAAAATATATAAAATAATTAAAAGTTATTTTTCTTTTTCATTTTCATTTTCAATGCTATAACTTAATATACATTTTTTTGAATGTGCCTACACATGATTTTACTTTATTTATACCTAAAACAATCTATAAAAAAATTAACCTCACGCAATATCAGAAACAATCTCAACATCATTCACAAAAAGATTTAATTTCCATTTTCATACTACAAATAAAAATATTTTGAAAACACTACAAAATAAGCCCTTAGTTTTGGGAATTTAAAAGTGTGAAAATCAATATTTACTTATGGGACTTTGTACGTTAAGCCTCTTTATCGGTAGTATTAGT